CAATTTTCATGTATTCAATGTTTGACCTCTGAACTTTTTGTATCTTTTTTTTGTTTTATCCTTGCACTGCAGTGCGTGTCGAAACATCTGTATCGGTATCACGAACGTTGTGTTGGTTTTCAATTACTTCAAGCACTTGTGTGTGAGTGAACACGGTGATGATGATGTTGAAGATGATGGTGAAGACGATGATGAAGATGGTAAAGATGACGATGGAAATGGTGATAAAGATGATGGTGAAGATGATGATGTAGATGGTGATGTTGATGGTGAAGATGATGATGAAGATGATGATGAAGATGATGATGATGTTGATAGTGAAGATGATGATGGTAATGGTGAAGATGATGACGCACGATGATGAAGATGGTGATAAAAATGGTGGTGAAGAACAGATGATGACTACAGTGAGAATAAAAGTATGACGATGACGAACTTACTGATGATAAAACTTCATAACGATAATAAATGCTATATTGGAATATGTTGATGATGATGATTTTATTGATTCATTGACGATGGTAATTAAAGATATGAAGGTGATGATGAAGGTGATGATGAAGGTGATGATGAAGGTGATGATGAAGGTGATGATGAAGGTGATGATGAAGGTGATGATGAAGGTGATGATGAAGGTGATGATGAAGGTGATGATGAAGGTGATGACAAAAGATCATGAATAAAAAATTTTAATAGCCAAAAATAATTCATAGCGGAAAAATATTAACGACTATAACAAAAGTAACAATTATACTCTACCAATGATAACAAAACGTCCCAAAGTAATAAAACTAATTGGGATGTTAAAATCGTTATTAATAAAACATTGGCAAGGTAATATAATATTACTGCTACTGCTGCTACTACTACTACTACTAATACTACTACTACTACTACTACTACTACTACTACTACTACTACTAGTACTAATACTACAACAACAACTACTACTACTACTATTACTAATACTACTACTACTAATACTAATACTAGTACTACTAATACTACTACTAATAATAATACTACTACTACCAATAATAATACTAATACAAGTGCCACTTCTTCGACTTCTAATACTAATAATAATATTAGACTACTACTACTAATACTGCTACTGCTGCTGCTGCTACTACTGCCGCTGCTACTACTACAAGTAGTAGTAATACTACTAACATGCTACAACAACTACTGTTTCTATTATTATTGTCGATATCATTATGCTATGGTTATTTTCCATAGTTTCCATATTTTCCATGTATTCCATATTTTCCAGGGTTTTATTTTTAGTTAGTGCTACATCCCGGCGACTACTGGCATATGCGATGAATATAGCCCGGCATGGAATTAATGATATTTTAAGTCCCGAAGGATGTGGTGGTCATTTGAGACGGCCAGCATGCTTTATTGGCGCCCTTTTAGCAAGGCTTTCGTGCTGATTCCACTTCTTAAAATAGTTTTTCTCTCCCTTGGAATTTTATTTTATTTTTGAAATAAAAACAATTACCTTGAATAAACTTTGGTTTTTTTTTACTATTTATCTTACAAACATGCACACACACACACACACACACACACATCTTACCACACTAACTTACATTACGACAACACAGACGTTTAAAAACACAATTCGCGTGTTCTAACAGACAGTCATATACACAAATAAAGAAATACACTTTTACATACACGATAATATACAGCAAAAACTAAAAAAGGCAACTACAGATGTAATATGCAAAAAAAATGGCTTCCATTACGTCAGAGAGATGGGCGAATTATTTCAATATTTTTTTAGATAATCCTGCACTTAATTTTTTTAAACTTTCCACTTTCAGTTTTTTTCAAGAATCTTAAGGTTCTTTTCAGCTGGAGTCTCGTTGCTCTTAGGGAAAATGACACGCTAATTATGTTTCTGATAGAAAGTAATGAAGATGGAATGCGTGGTGACTAGAGCGTGTGTTCTTGAGTTGCAGTAACCTGGTTCGACTGCTAAAGGATCTTTTTTGAGTGAATGATAATAAGGCCTAAAATGATAATGGTAATGACTAATGTTGATGTCGTTGATAACATTATATATCTGCAACAAAAGAGAAAAATGTTAATAAGAAAACCAATGATGATGATGATGATGATGATGATGATGATGATGATGATGATGATGATGATGATGATGACGGTTTTGTAAATTTTATCAAACCACAACAAAGATGATGATGATAACGCTGATATCAATGAATACGACAATTACAATGACAACGACGACGATGACGATGTTGATGATGGTGACGATGATGATGAAATATGATGATGATGATGGTGGGGATGATAATTTATATAAATATTATTCATACAGAATGGTGTTGTGTTTTTTTCCACAGAAAAATGAAAAAAAGAATAAAGGATAGAGTAAATGATGGAATGAATGATGAAATGAAATGAATGAATGATGAATATGTCTTTGCAGTTGCGACGACGTGGATGCAGTGTGCGTAGCTGCCAGCAAAGCTGGTGATGTTACTTATGGTGATGTGTGTTGGTGGTAATGATGATGATGATGATGACGATGATGATCGTGATGATGATGATGATGATCGTGATGGTGATGGTGATGATGATGATCGTGATGATGATGATGATCGTGATGATGATGATGATGATGATCGTGATGATGATGATGATGATGATCGTGATGATGATGATGATGATGATCGTGATGATGATGATGATGATGATCGTGATGATGATGATGATAATGATCGTGATGATGATGATGATTGTGATGATGATGATGATAATGATGATGACTATGCGATGATATTTGTCACAATATTAATAATGTTGATGGGACGACGGCGATGCTGATAAAGCAAATGGTGATAACGATGATGAAAGGGTACTTTTGATGTTAATGATTACAATGCCTAGCAGGCACCACCGCCATAAACATACAACTGTAAACATAAAACCATAAACATGGAAATGCAAACATACAACTATAAACCTTCATATGTATACATACAACTTTAAACATACAAATGTAAACATACAACCATAAACATACAAATATAAACATACAACCATAAACATACAAATGCAAACATACAACTACAAACATACAAATGCAAACATACAACTATAAACATGCAAATGTAAACATACAACCATAAACATACAAATGGCAAACATACAACCATAAACATGAAAATGCAAACATGTGGGATCGCAACAAGCATACCTATAAATTATTTTTACAGAGCCTTTTAGTTAGATTGACATGCGTTTAGACTCATTAGCCGGCCTATGTAGAAAGATCATACGCAACCCAGGAAAAGTTAACTAATGGTGATTTCAACTTTTAAAATATATTCAAAAATCCTGATATATCTAGAATGTCTTAAATCTCTAAAATACTAATTGACATTGACGAAATGTTTTTTGTAACTTTTTATTAAATTTAAATTTTCCAGTATTTTGTTAGAAAAATTTGATTGGCAATCAGACCGGAATGTTGACTAAACCGCACGAGACGAACAACTTTAAAACTAATTTCGCACCGGCAGAAATTAACAACAGATGGTTGAATGAAGTAAAGTTGCAGTGCAAATTTACTACCATGTAAACAGTTACAGGCGATTTCAGACATCCGAGCACAACCTTAATCATTCGAAATAACGGATACAGACGCACAATAAAACGATCGTAAATGTAACCTCCGAACATCTGCCTTCGACAGACCTTCCCAAACATTGAATCACATTTAATGGCCGGTAAATGTAAAGTGGAACCACGAACAAACAGGCATAGAAATTTAAGAATAAACATTCAGTGACGTGCCTAACCAACATCACTTGATTGACAGTTTTTTAGCGTGTAACTATATTCCACGTCAACATCTTAACTGACGTTTAATCTAAAACAAGTCATTTTTTCGAAGAGATTTTTTTTTGACTTCTTCATCCACACAAACATTTTTTGACCTTTAAAATGGAAAACATGTTTCTCAGGGCTAATAATTTAATAAAATATTTACATAAAAACATTACTAAACAAAATAATGAGCTAAAAAATATTTTTTTAAATGAAAAACAGTTTTTGCACAGTTTTCCAGCTTTGTTCTGCTAACAACTTCGCATAATGCCCACATTTAGTTCCATTTTTTTCCATTAGAGTATACAACATTTTGAAATCATTCTGTCCAATCTATAAACATTAGGATACCATCGTTGGGCATATTTTTTCAGCGTGCTAAAAGCCGCGTACACTAAGTTTCATCATTTCGTTTTTCATATCAAATGTTACGTTATTTTAAAAAAATTTACAAAGCTTTTAAAAATAAAGAATGATGAAAGAAAAATTTTTACTTAAAAAAATTCAAACCCATTTCGAAATAAAATAAAATCTTCGCTACGAATGAGCGCAAAAAACATGAGAAAATAAATTTTAATTCAACAAGAGGGATGATCAAATGCAATTAAGTGAATGCAACGCGTCTCACCACCCGCTCGCCTGCTCACTCATTCACTCAGTCACTCACTCATTCCCTCACTCATTCACTCATTCACTTTTTCATTCAGCCTCTCTCATTCACTCACACACTCCTAATCCTCTTCTCGCATTCGCCTGCATGAAGAGAAACGAAATAAAATTAATTGACACATCAAAAGGCACTTGTAAAACTACGTCAACAAATAAATTTTTAAATACATCAAAAAAACCACCAAGCCCAGAAAAACAGAAAAAACAAACAAAGACAATAAGTAGCACCACACATAGACGCACGCACACGCACGCACAAATGCACACACATACACGCACACACACAACCACGCATAGGCACAGTGAACGAACGCACCACTCATAAACACAGAAATGAATAAGTAACTCGCAGTAGCATAGAATCCAGCCACACTAAGACAAACATTCATCATACATACAAATGCAATTACAAGGCATTAGGTTGCTGCCTGGCTGAGTAGGAAATGAAGAAGTAATAACGAGCTTACCTTGGCAAACACACTGGCGCATAAGAAGCCGATAATTTCGAATAATTGATCGAGTCCAACTTTGTATTCGTTCAATAACTCCTGGTACAACTCTTTGGCCGTCTCAATACTGTGTTAAGTAAAAAAGAATTATTTAATTCAATAATTGTTTATTTATGTTAAATTTTAAAAATTTATTTAACGTAGAATCGTTTTTAATGAAGAGAACTATGAATGTAGTTTTTCTAGATCTAAAAGTTTTCAATTTATTTTCCCATTTTTAAAGAATTAAGTATGTATTTGATCATTTTGAAACACATTTCAGTTTCAAGAATGGTTTTCTCACAAACGTAAAATTTAATTTATACCAATTTCTTTTATCTCGATGTAAATTGTTATTCTCCTGTCTTAATCTATACAATAATTCACTGCATTTTGATTTTAATCATCATTAATAATAATATTCTCGTCATTTTCGTTATACATAATTCAGTCATTTGTTGAAAAATTGTTTTTAATCACATTAAATATTCATTATCATTTTGAAAAATGGATAAATGCCTGACATTTACGACAGTGGTAATAAATATGAACGCATTGCGTATTAGCTCCCCGTGAAAAACAATTTCACAAGTACATCAAATTGACGAATTTTCAAATTGAAAATTTATTTTAGAAATATAAATTAAATAAATTACATTAAGATATATAAATTGAATATACCTTTAAAAATATATTTCATTTGTATACTTAAAAAAAAAGTTATTCCATGCTATTAGTCACTGTTGAAAATTTTCAAAAAATAAAATAATTAATGCGGACAATTACGAAAACAAATGAGACGGAATAAATATGGAACAATTATTTTTTTAAATTAAAAAATTTTTCAAAAGAAAAGTTATTTCTTTAATTTAAGTTAATGCATCTTCAAACTATACAGTGTAATTTTATAAACACAATTGGAGCTTCAACGCTAAACTGTAGGAAAAAACCATTTAAAAATTACTAAAAGATGAAATTAATCTATTTGTTTATAAAATTGAGAGAATTTAATTTTAAAAAAATGTTTCATTTATCTGAAATTAGATACATGGAAACTAATAAATGCCGTCTAGATGTGATTAATTATTCATCTGATCTGGATTCGAAGTTTAAATTCGAGATAAAATTGCGCGATGTAACGATAAATGGGTGGTTTTACCGGTTTGGCCATCCATATATTCATCAATCTATCTTTTTATTCATATATGCAGCTATTTTTTACCTACCCAGCTAGTTAGTTATATATTCACATGTTTTTTTTAATCCATCCATCTATTCATCTATTTCTTTATCAATTCAACTTTACATCTATCTATAGATAAATATGATGAAGGAGATAATGGTGATGAAGAATATGGCGATGAAGATGAAGAAGAAGATGAGGATAATTATAGTAGGTATCGCGCAGTAAAAGAAATTTGGAAAAGGAAATAAACTGGCGATGTTTGACGTGAAATTGCTCCCAGAAATTATACGGAAAAAATTAAATGGAAGATAATAAAAAAAAATCGAAATTGAAATTTTTTTGTAATTTTTCAATTTTTAATGCACGAAAGTGCACAAATGCAATTACGAGTGCAAATGTACTTGTCAGTGAGTGCACCTGCACCTATCAGTAGCTACTGTTGTAGGTACTTTCCAAATAGTACAACTATAACAAGGGACTTTCCTCTGAATGGAGTATTGTATCGAACGTTGGGTGAGGATTGATGGCTCACATTGTTCCTTCTGACAGTTTCAGATGGAAGGCCAACATTGAAGCATAATGCGCACATGCTTCTCGCCAGGGTAAGATATCCTGTTGTCACTGTTGTCACTTGCCTTATTCGAAGATTTCCAACTCTACTCCATTTTTTTTAGTAACAACGCAGCTTATTTTCAAAAAAAGTTAATTTTTCAATTTCTTTCATTGAAAATAAAAATTTAAACTAACACTATTCAAAATGTTAGTAGACAAAATTTAATAAATAGTATTGTTTATAACATCATTACGTTAAGGAAAAAAGCTATCTATTTTTCTACTAACTGGGAATATCAGATGATGTAGTTGGACCTACTAACCCAATTTCAGATTGCAGGCATCCATTCAGCTATCGACCAACCAGCCAAAGTGTAAATAAACATTCACGTAAATTTTCCGTTCTCTCACGCACACAACTCACCCACACACACACACACACACACACACACACACACACACACACACACACACACACACATGTGCATAATACACACACGCACACATATCCATCTATCTACATACGACATCATATTGATTGGGAAATCCATAATTCAGTATTGATCCAACAGCGTTGAAAATAAAAGCAACGCGATTGCATGGTTCCATTGTTTTTTTTCCATGCGTGCCTGTGCATGTATGCATATGCAGTAAATATTATATAACTAACTCAGCTATTTTCAATATTGAATTTTGAAACATAGGTTAGTGCTATATATAAAACAATGATGATCCAATTTATATTCACGCATACATACAGAAAGCATCATAAAATTTGAAAATAATTAAACGTATGACTCATTGCACCATAGATATTGATTTACAACATACAACAATATACATACATTACACCGAATTTTTGATTCAATTAGAATTGTGTGGTACGTTGGCTTCGATGGTGAGGAGGAGGAAAAGCAGCATATGCGAGCGTGTTCTTCATTGCACATAAACCATCTCCATTATTCCAATTGAAATGGGCTTTCATCAACACCACAAAACAAACATTATAAGCGCAACACACACAACAGCGTAGTGCACAACACACACACAAACACACACACACACACAAACACACACACAAACACACACAATACAAACCTCCAAGACACACAACGACAATACAGTACATAAATACTAACAATATGACAACAAGTCACACAAAACCAAACAGTACATAAATGTTAATAAAAAGAAGATAACACAAATACCACAGCCCGGACTAAAACGAAATAAAACCCATCCTACACAACAATACAAACAATACAAGCATAAAAAGACAACTCAACCCAACGACTCACACTTCGACATACACCTTATAACAACACAAACATTAACAACTAGATAACAACTACGTTTAATATCCAACATATAATTAAACATTCAATAAACAAAGAAATAAAATAATTAAGGTAAAATTAAAAAAAATATTAACGATAAATTATTAAAACAATATATCAACAATAATAAAAGTAATTAATTCTCACAAACAATAAACATTGAAAACTCTAGAGAACAGCCTGACATAGCTTTATTATATAAACAATAACACATGACGACGCGTCTGTAACAACATCAATTTATCGCTATCAAAATCTAAAATGCAATCAACTTCATCGCTTCTGCCATCATCAAAATATAAATATTCAATTTTATAACTTCCACTTAGATTTTGTTTTTTAATTTATCATATCGTTATCTTTGATACTGTATCAGTGATGGTAGTGTATCGATGATGATAGTGTATCTGGGATGGTAGTGTATCTGTGATGGTAGTGTATCGGTGATGATAGTGTATCTATGATAATAGTGTATCAGTAATAAAATATCATCATTGCCGTCAAAGATCAGGGCCGAGTTTGTCGGTGTGTTGGAGGCCCTGGAAAGTAAAGATGTATAAAAACCTCCAATTTATTTAATAGAGACATTCTATCATCTTTATATAGATTTTTAGCAGTATTTAAAAATTATTTTAAAATAATAATTTGGCTGATTTTTGGAGTTATTCCACATTTTTTTATTAAATTTAGTAATTTTAAAACGGAAATATGTAAAAATTGCAAAGTTACAACGTTGTCTTTCAATGTCTTTACAAATCTACATGAGAAACACGAGAAATTGAGTGTAGCTCTTAACTAATGTATGTGTATCCTAAGTATCAACCAATTGAACATGAATAAAATCAAACAAAATTTTGGCTCTGGTCATGTTAATGGATATTACTATTATTTTTGCCACACTGTCTTCATCTTTTCCATCATCATCTTCAACCTCACGGTCATCATAGATGACATCCTTATCTTCTTTAACAATGTCATCATCTTCATCATCATTGTCGTTATATCTACCATCATTATTATCTTCATCGTTTTGGCCATCATAATGGTAATAACCCTCATCACAAAATAAACTCAATCGATCAATATTATCTACATGATCAACAATGCCATCATGAAACTAACTCCTCCTAAATCAAACAAACGAACAACATGCTACAAAACAATTTGACCAAAGTCAACAATCATCTTAACAACTTAGTCACCCAAAAATTTAATGATTTTATAATAAACAGCAAAAAATTGAAACCGAATCTGAAATTACTGACATAGATATTCACAAAGATTTGCAACAGTCCATAATAACAACAACAATAACAAAACAACGACAACAACAATGCAACAAAAAATAGCAACAAATAACAACAAACCAACAATGCAACAGAAAAACAGCAACAAACTTAGCAGCATAGCAATACATGGTCCTTATTATAACTCAGCTTGATCCGCGTATGAGCCGCCCACATTCATAAAATCTTCCTCAGGTCAGTAGGCAGGGAAGCAATCATCATTCTAAAGTCTCTTTCTTGATGCATTCATTTATTTCTTTTTACAAAAATTTCAATAAATTATTTATTACAAAATAAAGAATTTAACATGAAAATTCATGAAACAAAACATGTGACAACAACATCAACAACTACTGCTACTACTACTACTACGACTCTTACTACTACTACTACCACTACTACCACTACTACTACTACTACTACTACTACTACTACTACTACTACTACTACTACTACTACTACTACTACTACTACTACTAATACTACTACTAATACTACTATTATTACTACTACTACTACCAACAACAAACAAAACCTTTATCGTAAACAAAATATTTGATATTTTTAACAGCCAAAAATATCCTGGCCAAATATTCGTCATCACAGCATGATATATGCTACGCATATCCGACTAAGAAGATTCAATTGAAGAATGGTTTCCACCATTCCATGAAGAAGGTCATTACTCAGCTGAAAATCTACGCCGCCTTTTGCCTAATCTCTGCTAAG